TAGTAGCAAGGTGCATCGCTACTAGGAACGAACATCTTCAAAAGCCGTTTTCTTCAGTAAACAGGGGCTACTAGTAGCATCCTTGTTACTAGTAGCGATGCCCTTGTTACTAGTAGCGATGCCAGGAGGTTACTAGTAGCTTCTTGTCAACAGTGATAATAATGGGTTCTTCAGTAAACAGGGAGTGTCAACTTGGTGCCAAATCTTGCTACGATACTGCTGGTTCGAGTATGTCACACAGTATGTCGGTGTTCTCAGTAGCAACCATAGCAAACTGTCACCTTTGATGGATGTATCGAAAGAACTGAGGGGAGGCGGGTGGACGCTGTCAAAATGCCGACATGGACTGCCATAGTGAGCTTGCCCCAGTGAGGCTTCGTGCATAAATGTTCATGCATTTTCTGAATCAATGCCAAGGCTCTGAGACCTTCCGACTGAAATGTCCGTTCGTCGCCTCGCAAGAAAGTATAGTCATGTCTTTTGGTTCCTTTTGGCTCAGTTTTATCCAAAACTACTTCTTGTTGCAAGGAAGTCAAAAGAGTAGTCAAAAGTGCTTGCATCTACCTTACAGTCCTAGCAAATCCTTCCTGTTGTACATTTTTCTCTGCACAAAAAAAGGCACCAAAAAACCAAAATGCATCTAAATGCAGTCTTTAGACTTAGATAGGACCATGTGCTGAACAATAAGTGCCCAACGCTCTAGCGTCAATAGCCGGGTCCTGCGCAAAGTGCAACAGTGTAACCCCAAGCTTGAAGTTCGACTCGTTGTTTAAGCATTTTAACTTTAATCATCAATGTTTAGCATCTTACAAAGAATATCCACACGCTAAAGCCAACACTATACACTCTCCCACCCGCGACCCAACTCCGGTCCAAGCTGTCGGACGCTTGCTCCAGCCGTCGTGAAGGGACTTCACCAACTTCTCGGTGAATTCGCACCTGGGCAAAGCAATAAAGCAGCAGCCGACGCAACCTTTGGGATCTTGCTGGTACAAATGGTGCTGTCCATGCATGTACATGCAGCTTTTGCTTGCCATCCGGTCTGTCTGAGTCTCGCAACTCCTCAGTGCTGTACTCCTGGCACACACACACACTCTGACATTGGTATTCAGTTACACTCAATTCCCAGGTCGAAAATGGTGAGGGAACGGCATGGTGAGAAAGTCAGTTCACTTGAAAGGTTGAACAAGCTGTTTGTGCGTGACTGCAGAGCTCAGCGGTGGTGAACAAGCGGCGCAACTCAGCTGCAAAACCGAGGTTTCAGGGCTGGAAACATGAAGGACCATGAATCAAAAAGTGGAAAAGTATGGAAAAGTGGAGTAACAGCTTGTGAAAGAACGAGCAGGTACACGGAAGTGATCAGCTTCCGCTTCCTAGGATCTTGCAAAGAGCTTCGTTGGGCAGAGCCTTGCAAGTCCTCTCTGCCCCCCTGCATGAGGTGAATCCAAACCCTTAGGCACAGGGGTTGACACACACAGATCGCCGTGATCGGCGCCCCTGCTGGAATCAAAGCAGGAAAATTCTTAGGTACAGAGTGTGACACACACACTCCGCCGCTTTGCGGCTCTCTGGCATAAAACGTAAGATAGTCACCTAAAAAGCCTTAGAAACAAAAGAAAGGAAAGACAGAAAGAGCAGCGCTAAGAGGGCAAGAAAGAAAGATAGGTGTAGAAAAAAGTGAATACTTAGCCCTTGACTGGGGTAGGGAAACGAGCCTGAAGAGCAACCTAAAAAGCCTGAGAGAAAGCCCAACAAACGACGGAAAGCGCAAGAAGAAAAGTGGGGGGGCAGGGAGGGGATGTATGTTCATGTGTGTGTACATGTGTGTCTCTGACTACCTAGCACTCTAGAGTTACTGATTACTTAGCCGAAAATAGTTAAGTGCAGTAGTTAGGGAGCGGAACTTTAGTCTTAGACCGCCCGGGTAGAGAAGACTAGAACAGGAACAACACAGGGAAAGGCACCGACACACAAGTGTGTCGAGTACCATTTCCCTATGTTGCCCTAATTAGGTGGGGAGTAGAACTCGGCTGGGGGGGGGGTTGGGAAACCTGCCTGACTGCGAGTGGAGTACCGTTTTTAAGCCCGGCGGCTATGGAGTCCCGTGTTTTGGCCCGGCGGCCGTTGAGGCAGTTAATAAATCGGTGGAAGTGGAGGTGAATTCCAGTGAAATTCCGGTGAGCGGTGGTGAGTTCCGTTAATGAGTTCCCAATGAAACAGCGCCCCAGTGACGGGGATCACACTCAGCACCCGAGTGGGACGGCTGAGCGAAACACACTCTGACATTGGTATTCAGTTACACTCAATTCCCAGGTCGAAAATGGTGAGGGAACGGCGTGGTGAGAAAGTCAGTTCACTTGAAAGGTTGAACAAGCTGTTTGTGCGTGACTGCAAAGCTCAGCGGTGGTGAACAAGCGGCGCAACTCAGCTGCAAAACCGAGGTTTCGGGGGTGGAAACATGAAGGACCATGAATCAAAAAGTGGAAAAGTGGAGTAACAGCTTGTGAAAGAACGAGCAGGTACACGGAAGTGATCAGCTTCCGCTTCCTAGGATCTTGCAAAGAGCTTCGTTGGGCAGAGCCTTGCAAGTCCTCTCTGCCCCCCTGCATGAGGTGAATCCAAACCCTTAGGCACAGGGGTTGACACACACACACACACTCCCGCAAGAGGAACGCCCCCGTGAAGAAGCCTGCGGCCTTTTGCTCTGAGAGAATGATTATATAAACAAGGTCCAGTCCTCTCTAATGTTCTATTATGACATGAATGCATCGCTTTTCCAAGATGCAAAAACCTTTGCAGAATGTCCTTTGACTCAGGCTGAGACCTAGTTATTACGAGATGATAACAATGAACCTTCAGCCTTTCATGGTTTTATCAATTACTGCTGTTTTTGTCCATCGAGCCTCCACACGGAAGTTGATCCTCGGCCCGCATCGCTAGGGATCATACGTGATCTAAGAGCCTTGCATGTAAGCTTTTCAAATCTTGATACACTCAGCGTGTCTCTAAGGGCACTCTTGAAAAACCTGTTCGGATCTCTTTGGTTACGCAAGACCTGTGCGCCACATGCAATTGATACACGTTGGGAATCACAAAAGAACCAAAATTGTTTCAATACTAATGTAACATTAATGTAGTTTCCCTAAACATCTAGGAACCAAATGATTAGAAGCGTGAGCTATCCTGCATCGTGAACGAGTGCGCCATTGCTTAATCAAGTAGGCGCCTACTTATTTAAGGAAGGAGGCAGGGCCACAGGCAAAAATCATACACAAAAAAGGTATCGGTATTTGTACTTCTGAACTTGCGCAACTTGCGGTCGACCACGAGCCACCCAGCCGGCGGCGTTGTTTTGCACGACGGAGCTCCATGCCATGAAGGTGCCTTGTGGGCAAACTTGCAACTAGCATCTTGCCATCAACTCGAACTGGATTCAGCTTTGATTCAACAAGTTCCAAGATTCTGGATTCAATTTCAAACATCGCACCTCTATTGAGTCGGACAGAGCTTTGCTGGCTCCGAATGGGTGCTATGCAAAAGTGTTTTGCATCAGTTGAATGTGTTACAGTGTAGTTACAGTCTAAGAAATTCATCTGGATATTGTCATTCACAGTGATCTTCGTCAGTCATTAACTGATGACCTTGTTCATCTGTGATGTTCTCTCACGTTCTCTCTTGCAATCAACGATACCCCCCTCCCCTGCCGTGTTGCATAGGTAATGAACTGCATGGATTGACCAGCAATGATTGGCGGTTGATGTAACATTTTACCAACCGCGAGGCGCCACTATTCCCCTTCACAAACAACAACAGCAACAACAACAACAACATATCTTACATGACAGGATAAAATAGCTACAGGCCGGGCTTCGTCCGTCTTGCAAGTTTCACATGCCAACTGGTTTGACAATTTCTCTGGCCAAGCCTGGCTTCATTGTTATGCAGCAACTGTTCTTTTTAATGAACAAGTCTTCAAAAAACCGAAACATATCTTTCCAAACTACTCAAATTGCTCAGTCCACTAACATATCCTGCATTGACATATGGACAACTCTGGGTAGTGAGGGCAGCACAAGTACATCTTGTACCCGGTCTTGCCATGGCCTTGCACATGCACTAAACGCCGAAACCGTTTGCATCGGTCTCCGATTGGGGAAATCTTCCGCCTGCTAGTCCAACCCAGTCGTTTTTCTCTCCAAGGGGGCCACGGATTACCAAGGGGACTTGCCATGGGGATGCAAAATACTGGGAAGGTGCTCTATGATTGAAAAATATTCTAAACTAAAAATTCATTTACTGTATAGTTTATATAACTATATAGTTCTAGATGTTGAGAGTGTTGAGGTCTCTTGCATGTTCAAACAACACTTGCCGTAAGCGATTGGAGTGAATTGTCACTGTGGCGCACTCAGATCAAAGCATCTCAGCTGATTCTTGCGCGAGAGAAGGGTATGCACCGCCTGCACCTGTTGCACTGTATGCTGCCCCAACATTCAACGACTCAATTCACAATTCCAGGAACAAACAAAACACCACCTTCAGCTTCCCAAACACTCGATGTGTTGGCGATACGTCGTGGCCAGGAAACAACCATCACCAGAACAAGGAGAACACCTATAGACATCAGAATTTCCAACTTCTTGCATGAAAGAATGCAATCGTCTTGTCATTTTTACCTTGCAACACTTGCAGCATGTGGACGTAATGTTGTAGTCAAAAAAATGCATGCGCGTGTGCTTTGCTATTGTAAACAAACGGTGAACTTGCAAACGCCGGTTGTGCCGGTTGTGCGACTGGGCTGCACCTCCAAACCATTGATCGGCTGGATAAAACTTTGCCAACCATGTCAAAGGTCGCCCTGCCCACAGGAACGGTTTGGTCTTTCACACCGAACCTATTCCAGAAACTGGGAGCAAAGGGCATCGCTACTAGGGGCTCCTGGCCGTACTACTAGGAACAAGAAGCTACTACGGGCTCCTGGCCGTACTACTAGTAACAAGAAGCTACTAGTAGCAACAAATATATATGATACACTTTCCAGTTCAAGTCTAAGTCTAAGTGTGAAATTGATGGTCCCGTCTCCACCAACGGCCCACGGCAAAACGCAACATGCGAGACCATTCACAGCTCTTCTCGTCACCTGACAACATTGATAAACATTTGAATTTGGCGCTATATATGTCTATATATCTACTAGGGGCTCCTGGCATCGCTACTAGGAGCAAGAAACTACTAGGGGTTCCTGGCATCACTACTGGGAACAAGAAGCTACTAGGCAAGTCCGCGGCAAATCCCGTTCTCTGTAGGCCCCACCAATTTCAAAATTGGGAGGTGCATGTGTCCTTCAAAACACAATCTGCACGGGCTCGCCTGACTCATCAAAATATTTAGCAAAACCAGGAGGAAGCTGGCCTGAGTTGAGGAAATACGATGCAATTAATGAAACAATTTCTACAGTACAAATCAAACAACTCAAATTGACTACAGTGATTACAGTTCTCCATTCGAATAGCCCCAATGCACTACTGTCAACCACGCACCTGGTTCAAAGTCTCCAGACAACAAAACCAAGTCTTCCTGCAATCAAAGGGCAGTTCGGATGCCATACACGTTATGGATTGGATTGACCCATCGTTCTCTGTAGTTTTAATCACCAAACCGATGATGGTGCACCTGCGCGATGTAAGCCACGTGACCAGGGACATCCACTGCCTGGTCAGTGAGATTGCAAAAAACAACCCAACAAACAAGAGTCGTGTTTGCTTGGTCGGATGTGTTAGGACAAAATCATCATCACATTTGCCATCTGTGCGCGTCACCCCGTGGGCCAGCGCGCCGGTTGCTGGAAAATGCCCTGCAGGCCAGGAACTCCGCCCGATGAGAAACACTGCATTGCAACATGCGGGAATAAGTTAAATGGACCGCCCCCCCCCCCCCCCCCGCCAGTGAACGCCAATTCTTATATATCGTTCCTGTATGTTCCTGTGGTTCTACAAATATCTACGCAATCACTGCATTCATTCGAAATGGCCAGCCTCCGAAAGACATAAGTGTTGACCACAACTTGCCAAACATTCGCAGACTGTATTCAAATCTGTTTACTGTAATTTATTCACACGCTTGAGATTAGGGCATTTTATCGCACAATGTTCAACCGCTCGAGCTATAGTTGGAGCTTCAGAAATCCACTCCTCGCACAGCGGCTAGAAGAAAGTGCGGGGACTGTGACCTCATGCAGTTGGGTCTCAAGCTAAAAAAAACTCTCGCGCAAAGCTGCTGTGAGTCTTCAGGGATTCTGTCTCTTTTGTATTCTTTTGTCGCCTTTTGAGCATGACCCAAACGCAGCCAGGCACCCTCACACAACATATCACGCACACCAAAGGGTCCCTGGCATGTCATCATCGTCCAATCGCAAGGCCAACCTGCATGGGTCTTTCTCTTGCACAAGGACGCGCATCTGCTACTTCTGCGACACCATGAGCCTGTTGGCATGGCTGATGCCGATCATCAGCCATTCTTACGAATGTCTGAGGCACGAGCAAATCTGCTCGAGGCGTCTTGTCCCAAGCAATAATGATGCCTTCTGTCCCGTCAGAAAGCACCACCACCCGCCTTATGCTGGCTTGGGTGTTCGTGCTGAGATGTCGTGGATACTCGCACCAAATGTGAAATTCAAGGTCATCTGCATGGAACACTGTTGAATGTCTCCATGTGAGAGTGTTTTACAGATGCTGCGCAATGCAGTTTATGTGCAGCATGTGTTTCGAACATTATTGAAACTATGCACGTTTGGCAGTCCGCATTTCTGGATGCTCACTCTTAAGGCCTTTTCCATCAGTGCCCCGATTTATAATTCACAATTGTCAAGTGGCTGCCCCACATGGTAAAGGATACCACTCCGATCCTCGGCTTGGGGTTGCTCGGGCTCAAATCTGCCCAAGCATTTGCAGGTGCGTTGTGCAGCGGCGAAAGTGGTTTCATCATATCTGAAGGGGAAACATGGTAAATCTCCACGTTGAATGTTTGTGTCCCTACTTGAAAGCTCGACTCTATTGCGCATGCATGCATCATATTATATCCGACCACCCAGCTTTGTTCTGGTTTCTGCGAGGCATCTGACCTCTCCATTGTCATTCACTATGCAGCAACCCAGGCCGTTCAAATACAAGTTTGTTGCAACACGCTGCCACTGCCAAGCTGCTGTGTGCTCTTCAAAAGCTGCCGGCAGCTTTGGCGCAGCAGGTCGCACAGCCGACTCCCCTTGGATGGTTGGGCCAGGTAGGCATCTCACTACCGGAGTGCAGTATGCAGCATGTGTCCCACCCACAATAGCAAGGTTCTAAAACCAACCAGCACATCTTCATTGATCTGACTCTTGTGGAGGAGAATCCCTCACACAAACACTTGATGGCGTGGAATCATGCAATCTGTGGGCTTTAATGGTTGTGCCTTACTTATTGGGTCATCGCTGATTTTCAATGAACGTCGAACTTTAATATTCATCTATAGTTAGTTACAGCAGGTAGGCTGAACAAATGAAACAGTTTCGTCGACAAATGCCTGCGCGGTTGCGTGTGTTGCGTCTGTGGGGCGGTGGCGCCCCAGACTGGTCCAGAAAGCCTTGCAGAACACTAGTAGCGAAGTAGCGCAACCGCGCCAAATAAACATGTTCCGACCGAAAACAGCCGCGGCTTTGGGCTGTAACCTAAGGCCAACAAACACCCAAACAATAAGAAGGGTACATGCGGATAAGGTTGGGTCAAAAAGCCGGCTGGCGCGACCATCGTGGTAATGGAGGCGGGGCTGGCCTGCAAAGCCCAGCACCCCCCAAAAATAGCACAGGCAAGGCGCGCTTCAGGGAAGCCAGGAATGCTGTTTCCTTTTGTGGGTGGCTAAGCAACCGAACAAAGCAGCTTTGGCAACAGCAAATAAAAAAAAAAAACATCGAACCCACCTCCCCAAAGCTCACGGGCAAGAAAGTCGTTTCCCGGTTTTGGGGTGGCGGCCCCCACTTTTTGCACAAATTGACCAAACATGAGACAGCTTCAGCAACAGCAAGTTTAAAACCAATGGGCCCCAGCACTCTAAAGACCTAGCCCGAGAGGACTTCCGTGAAACATATTCGGTGCTAGCAATCAGTTCAGCGCTGCCGGCCAACAACAGCGGGGCAGAAACAATGATCCCACCAACGGCAAGCTTTATTATGCCTATATGACACGGCTGGTGGTGGTGGAGCTGCCGCCGCCGCTGCTGCTGTTGCTTGGGCATCTCTTGTGGTCACTCCATCCTTATTCCATGTCCCCAAATGTTCAGCATCTGGCCGTGATTTCAGGGTGCAGCTATATCGCATAAATAAATGAATATATATATATATATATTGTATTATATATATGCGTAGATGTAGCAGCGTTGAATCCTGCAGACCGGATGCGCTTGATTAGCTCCTCCGGCTTGGCCACGTCTCTCTGTCCCTCCGAAAGCGCGTCTGGAGGCAAACCGCAAACCCTCTTCACTGGGTGGACAACGGTTATTCTACTCTCTAGTTTCTCGTAGCCAGGAGTCTGTGATTCAACTGTCTATGCAAAATCTTACGAGCGGACAGTCAGGTCGAATGAGCTGACCCAATTCTGGCCACCTTCAAATTCGAAAATATGTCACACGTTTGAAAAACATCTTGCAAATTCCTTACTAATGAGTTACTAATGTTCTGCCTTTTCCGACCGGCAGCTCAGCTGCCGCACCACGCTGGCTCGAGGCCGCAGGGGCCGCCAAGTGCAAAGCAGCGTGGAGGCAATCCAGGCAACCCAGTCGCAACCTGGAAAGCTCTCAACGAAGCAAAGCAATTTTTCTGAAAGCGCTCTGGCAACTGCAATGCATTGAACATCATTGAACGGAAAGAAGCATGCTGCGCGATGATTTGAGGTGAGGCTTCTTTGGGATTGCCGAATAAGAGACAGGAGCAAAGATTGCTTCAATTACGGTATCAAGTGTCCATAAACAAAGGCACCAACCCAACCAAAGGCCACTTCACAAATTTCGGGCGCATCGCCGGCCAGGACCACAGGTCGAGGAACCGAGCTGTACCCAGAGCAAATCGACTTTTGGGCACAATGTACTGTAGTATGAATTTCCCGCAAATACCAAGCAGGCCAACGGGGTGCTTGAGCAATTACATTACACCACCACTGCATTCCACACAAATGTTGCAACTCTTCCTCCACCCTGCCGTGAATGCTTTTCAACATTGATGTAGGTAGGATATGTGTCTCGACCTAGTGTATAGAACCGTGAACGTGGAGCTCTGCCTGTGGATACACTGATTGTCCAATGGCACACTCTATGTATAGACCAATGGCATGTGTGACAATAATGCAAAAAGCATTCCAAAGCACAAGGAGCTCCTTTCAAGACAAGCTCATAAGCATCGAGCAGCGCTCCGCAAGCAGATTTCAGCCGAAGCTATCACTATTACTATATAACACACACACATATATATATACTGATACATACATTATACATATACACGGGCCCTAGAACCGTATCACATACAAATCATCATAAAGAGTAGCACAGCTGAATACCAGGTGGGAGTGTTGAGCTTGGCCTTAAGCCTGAGCTCCTGAGATATGTAGAATGAGTGAGAATTGGAAAGCAATCTGGAGCATGAGAGAGTGAATGAGTTGGAGTGAAAGCTTTGACCAGCCCATGCATTCCCAAGTCAGTGCAGTAGCTCCTCTTGTAAGAAACACCCCAAGGACTACATAGGACTACAGTACATCACAGCCCACTTAATTACCAGTGCTCAGGTAGAGCTAGTCGTCAGGTAGCTTCTGTGAATGGAGCCCAGTGGAAGGGGGGCCACGCCTGTGGGCCGCTCCACCGCCAGCAGCGCTGTATGACCTCCATCGCGGTCAGGTGCGAAGGAGCGCCAGGTTGCTGGGCAAAGCCACCTGATCGGTGGGAAGCGATGAAACTGAGAATCATCGCCACAAGTTTCAAGTGAGTGCTTCTGTTCCTAATCTAAAACTGCTGCCATGGGATTCGGCCTTTGCGTTTCCGTAACTTGCCGTGACTCGCCGGGATCCCGGCCGCAGGCGGGTTCGATGCTTGCGGGTGCCATTTGCAGCTAGGCAGTCCTGGACTTCAACCGTGGTCAGGCATGCGCCTTAGGTGGTTGGCATCCTGGATTTGTCAAAATGCAGGAGTAGTGAGTAGTGACAATACTACTCAGAAGCCTGACTCGTGCGACACCAGCATATCTCAAAAAAGGCTTTTCTGAGATTCGCAAATCTTCCTGCTTCAACGGTATCAATGCCATCAACCATCATCAACCCATAGCAAAGACATACAGCGGCTCCAATTTCCACCGCGTCCTGGCCCTCAGAGAGCTCAAGCTCCAAGGCCTTGTGCTTTGAGCCCAAGGCCTCGGACAACCTTGGTCTCAGCCGGTGGAGAGAACAAAAGAACAATATCAGAGTACTATTTCCATGCAAGATCTGAGAACCTGAAACATGCAAGTACGAGGTGTGGAAGATTGGGCGGACACTTGGCAAAACGAATGACCCATGCCATATCACATATGATACAAAACCACCTATATATATAATATATATATATATATTATATTACCATATATATATATAGAAACAAAAACATCATGGATCTAGATCACACATGACCACAGAATCTTTACAGACTCTCACTTGTGATCAGCATCTGTATTCTTCTCCTTGTCACCTGAGTCCGGTGCATCGCAGGTACCGTAGCCCACTGAGCATTCCCATCATCTGACGAACCCAAACCTGGCATGCAGGGCATTCAAACCCAAACCACTGTTCCCTTAGGAATCATGATCTTTCAAGAGCTGAGTCATGATAATTGCGTTTCATCTTGTGAGGTGTGCGTGATTCGAGACATATCTTTGTTGGATGGTTATATAATGTGAACAGTGCCCAATCACACTAGAACGAACATCAAGACTTTTACAGTAGACAAACAGTTGTTGGAATGCAACATAGCTTATCAACAACAACATCGGAAGGTCGGAAGGTCACTTACAAGTCTTACAAGGGTCAGAGATCTAATAAGCGAGGAAAGTCACCTGTCTCCACCGGCTGTCCAGGAACCACTGGCTCCGCAGCCACCAACCGTGGCACCTGGATGATTGCACATAAAGTATAAATCTGCAAAGTTCAATGTCTGCCCCTGTCTGTCAGGTTCATTTGCTCGAAGGCTAGAAGCTCATTGGCACTGGCAGAATGCTTATTGGAGTTACGTCCGCGATTCTGGATATCTTCTAAAGCAACTGCCCCCTCGTACCACATTTTAGCATCGTATTTTGCCAACTCTGTGGTCTTCTTTGCACAAAGGCCTCGTCAGCAGGACCTCCCAGCAACACCTCGCGCATGGCCTCTTGCAAATAGACAGGAAAAGCAAGAGGCGCTATTGCAACAGGGCGATCAAGCAAACAACATGATATAATAACACGGTAATACGGAATACGCATCTTGAGACAGCTGTTGGCGCGGTCATTGAGTAAACTAACTCTAGTTTTGCCGTGGTTCACACACCTGTGCATTCTATGTTGCCAGTGTGTTAGCTTTGGTGTTGCCTCAAAACAATCTAGCAGCCTCCCTTCCAAATATATATTCTGGCGCGATCTGACACGCACATCACTTTGGAGCACTCGGAAACGCAACCTATCATCCTATCCTCACGGCCTTCCGTTCACTCGTAGATGGAACGCGGCTAAGCGTAGCCTGTCGTGATTCAGCTGTTGGGGCCCAAATCTGTGGTGAGATGCAATTGCTGGAAGATGCTGGAAGATAATATATGTTTTAACAAATCCAACCGGCAATGTATGCAGTGCAACGGCGTGGGAGTCTCCATGTTCAAAGAAACAATTCCTTGAACATAATATCCGATGAACATGATGAACATCTCTCTTGCTTACAACTGACAACTGCCCATCAACAGCATCTCCAAGCATCGGATCACATCCGCTGCCTGTGAGATGTTCCCGCTAAAGCACAGCGTGTAGTCCCAACGGCCTCTTTTCTGGCCCAAGCAGGGCAAGTCCAAACGCGCCACCGGTGCCAGCAACCAATGGAAGATCTCCTGCACAGACCTTCAAGTGGGTGCAAGAAACACACAAATCACACACGTAGAGCATGATTACCGGCTTGAAGATAGTGTGAACATGACCTACATTATATATATATCTCACAAAGAGTTGGACAAGCAAAACGCGTCAAGACGTGAACACGTTAAACATCGTTAAACATCGTTAAACCATTGTGAGAGGCTTGGGGGCAGAGCGACATCGACTCACCAGCTTCGACCCGGAGCCGGCAGCAAGTGGGAAGTAGCAGCTCCAAGGTGTGATTGAAGCCTTGCGATTGAGGCCGGGCCGGACATAGGAAAAGCATGGAGGTGAACGTAGGCGAACTGAGCTTCATTTAAACATCCCATGGAGGCGCCAAAGTTTATAAACATGTAGAAACTTTTGCTTTGCTTCTCTGTCTCAGTATTGCTTCACTGTACCCAAGTCCTTTAAGAACTGCCCCACAACATACAGCTCCAACAAACACAAAGGTGATGCTTGCTTTGTCCAAGCGCAACGCATAGCTAGCTTTCGACAGTTCTGTCCAAGCTGCCGCCCCTCCAGGAAATGATTTCCGGGCCCTGGCCGCAACGACATTGCACTGCGAGTTCGCTGCGAGTGATGCTGTTCCTTAAGGCATCAGCAGGATGAACCTACAAGCTGCACCCAATGTTCATGAAGGATGACAATTTGTAGCTATTAGGTTGACGGCGTGACTCGGCGAGCTGTCAATGCATGACACACAGCAGAGATTGCTCCCTGAGGTGGTCTCCCTCTTCATGATTCTTCATGCCACGTGTTCATCTCTCGTCACGCTGGTCGTGGCAATGTGCGTGGGAGTCGTCGCTGAGGAGTGGTATCTAGAACTGACACCTGCTAACCACCACTCTATATACAGTAAGGCAAAACATCTCAGGAAGGCAACTCTGATCTCACCTATGCCAGCAGGTTGCTGACACACAAACTGATCCTGAGACCTGCTGCATTCTTGAGTCCCCGTTGGTTCTTGCAATCCAGGAGCACATAGTGGAGTGTAAGCGAGCCATTGGCATGATCTTCGTCCAAGCTTGCATTGTACCAGCCTGAAAGACGGATGCAACCTCCACATCGGTTGAGATATGTTGAGACCGTTTGGCGTTCTCATCCCAACCAAGTCCAATGGTAGCCACAAAAAGCCTGCCTTGCCAGCACAGCTGCAAAGCTCCAGTTGCTTTCATAGCCCGGCTGTCCAAACCACTTGAGATGTTCACTACCATGCAGCACAAACAAATAAGCCCTCCAATTTCAGACCACAGCCACAGCCCTTTTCATTCACCGCCGCTGGCCTAAGTCGATGCGCTGAAGCCATGGTTTTGGTGCCCAGGAGACGGCATCGCTGTTGAAGCAAATTCCTGAATTCCAAGGAACTCGGCAACGAAAGCAAACACTCAAAAAAATCCTGCTTCATTTGCATCTTGTGGTTGCAAGCTTGCCTAGGAGAAACATCAAGAATCATAATTTCCACCAGTGTCCTTCTTTGCGCTTGTAGCTGGAAACTTGTCTGTTGCTAGTAGTGAGTGTATATCTTATATTTTGTGTGTATCATACATATATACAACAACGGAAGACTGGGAGCAGGGTTCATTCAGGTGACTAGTGAAGCAACTGCGCGAATAAACACGTACGAAGCAAACTTCCAGCCATAACGAGGCTACAAGGTAAAGAACAAAAAAGGCACTAGTAGCAAGAGTATCGCTATTAGTCACATTCCACGGTCTCTGGATATGCTCAGCTTTGAGACTCTGGGCCTCACCTCTCCAAGTTCGAGCTTCGATATGACCAAGGTATTTGGGTTGATGAGGTTCCTTCAGTGTCTTCAACCTGCCATGATTGACTGCAAATACATGTTGACTTGCCTGTGACGGGCAATGTTGTAAACACGGCGTGTGGGAATCAGTTACTCAGCTCAAGCTGAAGGTGGCCAGTGGCTGCCCGTTCCATCCCTTGGACCATATCAAAAAACCGTACTTTGGAGTCACCCACCGCACCACCTAGCTCAAAATAACTTTGTAACATGTTGAGGTGGTTGGAGATATTTGCGGCAACTTTTGGGCATAGTCAAGGAATCCAATATAACTTCTGACTAATATAGATACGGCATGGAACCACCTAGGTGGGTCCCCCTCTCCATGTTGGCTCATCACTGATCACTTTGTGCTAGCTCAAGAAGTGTATATAAAAAGAAAGAAACACATGAAAGAAACATGGAAAAGGAACTCGACCTCAGAAACCAGCAATGCAACATGTTCTTGGAGGGATGGGTCACTACAAAACCATCTGTCAAAGGGATCAAGCAAAGGGGACAGCAAGCAAGGAACAGGATAAGGACTGGGACTGGAACAAGTAAAGAACTGAAGAAAGGAAACAACAAAGGAAAGGAACCAGGAACGACTTGAAAAAGCAATGCAAAAGGCATCACAAGGGAGAAGGAAACAAAGATGGAGACATTGAAAAGGAATGAAAAGGACAACAATTAGCGTCGTGCAAACGATTTGGAAGGATGGTCACTACTAAGCCACCTGCTGCCAGGACTCACCAAACTAAACAGTTCGTTTCACATACTACTTGCTTGCACACTGGTGTTCCATCACAATCTGGTGATGTTGAAACTGTTCAATCGCTTTACTTGTGCCAGCATGTGGGCATCTGGTGTAGAATCAGAATCATGTTGAAATAACCGATTATCGATGACACAATATTATGTTCTATTAGCTGACTCACCTATAGAGCGTTCTCAGGACATATATATATATAATTGCACTGGTAACACCACCTGCATGTTGTTGAAATAAATGATGCTTTTTGTAGCCCTTTGAACACCATATTTGGCTAACGCAATACCACCCTCCCACCCTGAAATAGTTTCGCTTAGGCAGGGCATCACGTCCACCAACGGCTACGACTCGCAGGTCAGCAGTCAATCAAGGCCTTTCGGCGCCAGGCGTGGCAACGATGTCTCAAAGGTGCCCAACGAGCCGCAACCTCCTCACATGTTGCTGACTTCTGTCCCAGGTTCTCCGGAATACACCTGTCGCCTTCAATGTGTTCTTGACTTTCAGGGCTAACATTGGAGTTGCCTGCGGGAAGTGCTTTTACTAACCGTTCATAGCTCGAGGGAAGGGGAATCCGGTTGAGCAGCTCTGAGGCAACTCAATTTGTTGGTCGTCAGATCAACTTTCCCCACTGGCACTGCAAACAATCCTCCTTGAGCATGTCGTCATCTCGATTTGAAGCATCACGAAGTTCACATTGTTTCATCTGCAGCCACCAGCGCGCTCTCAAGAGTTCACTGGGACTTGGACTTAGTCTGCGGATGGTGCGGAATAAGTATATCCGACGAGAACAACAACAACAACAACAACAACAACGTGCAAACCAAAACTGCAGCCCCGTCAGCGCACATCTTCTTACTTTGTGCCTACGTCTCGTTTCTTGACCCCCTCTCCAAAACAACAAGCCTGGTAGGATTGGGACTCGTAGTAGCACCAGTAGTAGGAGAAGTAGTAACAACAAATCCCCTGGCCCTTCTCTCCACAAAGCGGGGGTGGTTTCATACATTTCTGCTAATATACGCAAATGGCGGGGACAGGCGTTGAGAAGGCATTTTCGAACAACTCAACATATCAATATCTTTTTTCTTTCTCCCTCAGTCGTGTTTCTGGAAACACCGTCCTAGGGATATGTATGAAAGGCAGGGGGTCACTCACCTATGCACATCTACATTTTTGGTGGTATGAACACCAAAATCTCACAAAATGTATGAAACAAAGGGGGGGGACACAGGTCGAGAATCTAGACCAAATATATGCACACCAGGGGGTATGCCCTGGTTGTTTTGTATGCAATGCACGTCCTAGAAGCAAAAACTGGAGCCCGTATTTTTTTGTCACCCCTCAAAGGTGTTGTTGCCCCGTTGTACGAAACCAACATTCTCTCAATCCTTCAACTGTATCCCCAACCTTGTTTCCTTGAAGTTCCTGAGCTACAACATGTGACGGCTATGTCGGGCGGCTGTTTTCTACCAGCAACAACAACTGAAAATTGCTCCGAAGCACATGTGCTGTGTGGTACGGTAAAACTGCAATCTGCTCGCGTCGCTTCCAAACCTGACCGCCGAGATTGATCTGATGATTCCACAAAGCTGGCTCTGGCTCTCCTCAACACGGAGACAGGCTTTCGGCAGCAGCGAAATCTTAGCTATATATATATATAGTGTATATATAATTGTATTCGGCGTGCGGAGTTCAACATCAGCAAACTGCAGGGACATGGAGTATGAGCTCTCCATCCACACTTTTATACCACTTGCGGTGGCCAAAGCAGCATGTCTCAATTGCAAGGCAACGAGTAATCCTCTAAGCAAGAGCCCCGTGCAAGTCCAGGCTTGCCAACCTTCCATCCTACATCCTACATCCTTCCCATATCCTTCCCCCACTCCATTTTCGAAGGCATAAACCTTGATTCTTTCTTCTTCCCGGGTCAAACGGCCTCAGGTGTCTTACAGCTTCCAGCCAAACAAAGATTCCAAACAGGCTTCGTGGGTCTGTCACGCTTCCAATCCAGGGTGTTGATCAACCCTTGGGGTAAGTAGCCACAACTCATCACAACTCTATCAATCTCATGACTCAAACAACCGGTGAAAGCCGGCTTGCGTTTTCACTGTTTCACAAAGCTCATCAAACATGCGACGATTGATCAACAAAGTGTCATGGCAGCACCAAGGCGCGAGTGTCGGGCTTCTTGTCCACCAGCACGGCATGTCTGGGCAGCAAAACACATGCATGTAAAAACAAACCGTCGTTTCATTAGTTCAATTCGACGAGTTTTATTGTTTTTATTGGGAGAATGCTGACCAGCCAAAGGCGATGAGTGTTCTCACCATCGCAGTCAAATGCCCGATTTCAGCTCCGCTACGTCGAGTTGCAAGTTTGTCATGATTGCTTTGATAAATCGATTTGCTCTCCTTAGACGGGGATGAGGTGTCCACAGATTTCGGGGAACAGTTGCAGTTGTTTGTGTTCCTCTTCTTTTCAGCCTGCTGCCAGTCTCCAAACTATTTTCATACACGAACAGGACAACAATGATGGAAGACACTTGGTACCACTTGGTGGCACCAGCTTTTGTCTTCGCTGATGGGCCATGGCGCGCCTGTTCCGCACCCTGCCTGGGGAACCGGTTCAGTCGAGGTCGCCATGCCCTGCTTTTGCAAGAATCCAGCAAGGTGGCCACGATGAAAAGTGGCCTTGGACTATGTTGGCAGCGATGATAATCAAAACACCCCCAGTCGAACTGGCCTCAGTTGGCTGCTCTTACCCACAATTTTTATTATATACTTGAGAAGAGAACAAAGAGGGAGACACGAAAAGTAGCAAAGCTAAATGGTGCACGGGGGGTGGAACCACAAGGCACGTACAAAGGCAGCAACGGTCGAAACGCTCTCGCCAAAGACAAGCAAGGGCACCCAGTCGCATTCTCCGCAGCAAAATTTCGAACATGGACGTAATGGTGGCGTGCATCCCAAGCGAAGTTCGTTGATCTGATGATTAGGATTCGCATCCACTTCCAGACGAAGCGAGGGGGTCTGTATTGAAGTATCAGTGGCCAGGGGGGGGTAGGCGTGAAATATCAACTCCAAGCGGTTTGGTGTAAGCTGTGGTTGGTGTAAGCTGTGGTCTGGTGTAAACGGTGGTTGGTGTAAAACGTGTTTTGGTGTAAACGGTGGTTGGTGTAAGCCGTGGTTTGGTGTAACGGTGGTCGGTGTAAACCATGGCTTGGTGTCAACGGCGGTGCGTGTCAATCGTGGTTTGGCGTCAACGGTGGTTGGTGATGGTTGGTGTAAACCGCGCAGGGGCGTAAACGGTGGTTGGTGTAAAAAGTGGTTTGGCGTAAGCGTTGTTTGGCATAAAACTTGGCTTCAGATCGACTACATCCGATGCGCTGCCAGATCCGAGCAGTAGCAGTGGATGTGCTGCACGACTGCAGATCTGAGCCGTTGATCCGAGAATTTATTGACTCACGGTTCGCGTTGCCGATGTTCTTGCAAACCAAATGACCCGCTCTATATAAGATAGATCCACTTCGGGACGACGCGGTGGGGGGGTGAATTGAACTATCAAATCTATCAATTATTAGACCCGGAGAAGCCCAAACTTGCTCCGCAAGACAAACCCAAGGTATCCCCCTGAGGTTCTCACAATGAACACCACAACATACTAAAACAAAACTTCAAGAGAGGCCCGCTCCCCGAAAGCCTCTGACTCTTATCATAATCCTGATCCGTAGCAATTGCAAAAGGATGCTGCAGAATATCGGTTCTAAAATGCTTTAAGATTTTCTAAGCAAATCCAAGCGTCCATATTTTCAACTGCATGTTTTTCACCCCATGCTGGAAAAGCTGCGGGTGCTTTCTGGAAGGATTTTCACATGATGCGAGGTCCGATGTTTGTTTGAGCATGCTCACCACTGTCAACAGCGCAAGCCTGCGAGGTTCGTCACTACCTGCACTTGTTGGACCAAATGATTGCAAAGAACCCCTCAGCGGCTGCGATCTAAAGTGCATCTGCAAGAAGCGTAGTAAGAAAACACATAATCTGCTTGTGGAAGAGAGACGCGCACAAACAGTCATTGGGCTGGAGCAAAGCCACATTTCGAACCGAATACCTCCCACCACATGTTCGTTGTATGACAAACTCACATGCGTTGACGCATGAAGTTCAGCCTTCTTTTCACCGCCTGTGTGCAGCTTGGAGCGCCACCCAGACCCTCTCTTTGCCTGAACCTGGACAGCGGATGTCGGTGGGTACAGCTCTCGTTGGAGTTGCAACTCTTCAGAACCATATGACCACCTGGTAGATGCGCGTTGACATGAAACTCGGTTGTATGTGTGAGCGGACCCCACTGCTTGACTGTATAACCCAACGTAACATAACCCAACAAATTGTTCAAAATAGGCCCTATTATTGTTCTGACTCCTTGGGTGACCTGGGCGTTTTTTTGACCAGGGGGATTTCTCGACAGTATTGCGAGCGCACACCAACACCATAAAGTCTTGCAGAATCATGCTTTGCATGACTATGCCACGGAGTCACAGCCCCTGCAGTGTGTGCTGACTAGCAGCAGTGATGGTTCGAGTGTGAAACACAATATCGGTCCTCCTGGAAGAAGTACAACACTGGATGCCCCGGCCTCAGTGGTATCCTGGCCTCCTCCGGAAGCCAGAAATGGTGCTAGCAGTTTCACATCGAAATCGGGCTCCAAAATCCATGCCTTACTGCCTTCCCTTCTCTTGCTGTGTGGTGCATCAAAGGCACAAACTTCCGACATTCAGTGCAGCAATGTCCCTCCCGAGCTCACGGCTGTGTTTTTGCAAAATTCTGGACGGCAATGTCATAGGCCGTGTCCTTTGCCCCGCTTGCAACTCCCAAACTCCCTATGACAGAACAATCAACCAACTAAAGCATCACAAGGCATCCAGCTTGACCTGAAAGAGTCCCTACCCTGGAATATCACGCCTCATGCAAAGGGGTCGAGGAATGATAGTAAGTTTGCGTTTACAACGACTAAGCTGGAGGAAGCCCCACAAGCAAGCCCAATTGACAGTCCTGTTGCATGTTTTGCGCATTCAACTCAGCACCTGCATCAACCAAGTACCTTGGCTACAATTGCTTTTTGCAGGTTCCTTTGTCGCACTTTGATGCTGGAACTTTTTGCGGCTCGGCTCTACTGTTACAATGTCCTCTCAGTTGGTGGGCGTCCATTGGAGAGCCAACTTTATCACAAGGATCTGGAGCTGCGGCCCCTTTGTCTCGCAGTTCCGGCCCAATAGCATGTAACGCAGTGCTCAACTGGTTTTGCCCCTGCCAGGGCATTTTTAAAGTTCATAACAGTAACAACAAATGCAACTATATAAATAACCCCCAGCAATGTTGGACGTTTCGGGCCGGGGCAACATTTTCGGAACCTGGCCCCAAGATGGTCTCAACGTGATTCCAAGTTGCCCTCAACAAAGCCCAACTACCACCCCCACTTCAGCTCAATTTAAGGCCACGTGGTGCAACGTGGGCCAAATGGACCCCACAATTAGCCCGTGTTGCGAAGATGTTGCTCCGAAACGGCCAACATGGCCACCCGTCAAAGTGAAGGTTTTTGCACGGTTTCCGTCTGTGACAGCCAAACATCCAGCTCGACCTCCATTGAACCCACATGCTGCAAGTTTGGCGTCAATGGAGCACAGAACCAAGTTGCATCAAATCAAACAGGTCATGTTGGTCCCAACTTCAGTCCCAGATGGGCCCCGATTGCCCCATGTTGGGGCTACTTGGCCCACGTTAGGCCCAACATGCGCAATTGGGCCGCCGCTTGGTTCCAACTTGGACCAAGGCGAACGTGGTGTAGAAAGGTGTTCCACAAGTAAGGGATCATAAGGGCAAAACTTGTGGCATGTTGGGCTCGCATGCCAAAGAAAACTGACTTGCGCACGCAGGGTCGACGCTGACTAAGCCCAGCAAATCTTATGAAGGGGCGATGTCCCAAACCATCCAAAACCCACGTGCGCACGCCAAAATTAGCTCGCGCGCGCGCGCGCAGCGGCAAACTTGCACGCGGAGTCAGGTTGAGTGGCTGCATGCGGCTCGGAGTGGGCCCTTCCCTCCTCTAGACTTTGCCCTCACGTGGCTCACAAAAGGTATGCTACCTTTCCACGGATGTGCAGGCTTCCTAGTCTTCCAACATGCACGTGTACAAGCGATGCATTTTCCGCGTGTACAGCGTACAAGCGAGTGCTATGCCAATCCGACGCGCCATGCTGGACCATGCTAATCCTGTCGTGGTGTTGGGGGGTGGTCGTCGTGGAGGGACATGAATGGCATGACTGATCAAGAGGTGCTGCAGCCTGGCACAAACGAGTTGAGTTACTACTGCCCAAATTTGGGCGCGCCCCTGGCTGGAATAAATAACTTGAGGCCGGGGGTTGGTGAAGAAAGCTAGCATGGCCTTAAAATGGGTGGAATAAGAGGTGTGGATTCCGTGTCATCATGTGAAACATAATGGTCCCCAAACGGATGCTATCAGAACTTCAGAACTGCTATTATGCTCCCAAATCTGACCCGTCCAAGGGGGAGTTGAACCTGCAAAGGGGGGGTTCCTAGCAGTGGATATATAATTCACTGGGTTGGCGACTCCAGCCCCAGCCAATAACTTGCTAAAGCAAGAGTAACTCCAGCTGGCTGAAGCTAGCTTTCGTGATTAATAGTCCAGAGCCCAGTCAAGTTCCCATTTGCACACTCACCAACGACATGCGGATGCAACTCGCAAATGGCTTGATGTGCAGTAAATTCTCCACTAGCTGCCTCCCTCCTCCATCCTTTCCTGCCTCGCAGGCAAGCTGCTCAACACATTCTAAACTGCCAGCCATGGCTGCATACATCAAAGGAGTCCAAAGAGCGCAGTCCTGCCATGATCAATGAGGTGGAAAGGCGTCTGCCTTCTACATGCTCTGTGTAATCATTGGCAATCATGACCAATGATGTCTCACTTGCTGTGGGAGTGAAGTTGAAGCTCAGTGCCAGGCCTTACAATTTGGGTCGCTCTCAGCCTCTTCCAAGGCATCCGCCAAAGCCTAAGTCTCAAAACCAGTGCGACCCACAAACAAAACGAACAAATCACATGGTCTGGAAGGTCCAAAAATGGCCGTCAAGCGGCCACAACATCTGGTTCCGCCGCAGCCTGCAAAACTTTGGCCTCAAAAGTACTTGAGACTCTCTTACCCACTGCCACCGGCCCGAAGCAAGCCAACTTGGGTGCTGGTGAAATGCAAGCTTGAGGCTTTTACGTGAAGTGATGGATACTCTGGTGCATCGGGGTACTTGCCCTGATACACCTGGCTCAAGGTTCGCTCGAGCCGCGGCCGAATCAAAAAATCTGTGCGTTGAAGGCTTTGAACCTCACGACTCTCCTCATAGTCCATGTCTTCCACCTGCCCGAAGCACTACCTTCCGTGAAGTCTTCCCATGTCATGTAAGCAACGGGCAAGAATCACAGCTTCGAGGCCCCAAAAGGCAACAACCAACCCAAACTGGCAAAGGCCAATGACAAAGATTGTCGGAGGTTGCCCTGCTTTGCACTAAACTGGCCCTCCTTGCGC